TGAAGTGGTGCCAGATCACACTTAGCCAACTTGCCTCCTACGCCATTAGGACCATATTAACCATGCTGGTGGTGTCTCGGCTTCGGGATGTGGACTTGACACTGAAGCTTTTTCGTGCCATGTTTGTGCTAAGGTCACACCCTCATGAGAATTGTGTGTACTACTTCCAACCTTGGAGAGGCCGACCCATAGACAACCCCGTGTCCGTCCATAAATGGAAGAGTAAATTCTTCTTCGTCTCCTACTCAAAGGGTTGGTCATTTAAGTTGGGTTGGGGGAGATGTGCCTGCTTTCTGAGAAGTCCAAGCCTTTCCTCCAGGACGATGAAGCCGCCGCGGTGACCCATCTACTTGTGTTGGGGATGCTTCGGGCCAAGCCCCTAGTGGAGGTGGAGCTTCTCTTGGTTTTTGCAGGGCTCAGCCTCGCTCCCCTTGGTAGGAGAAGCCCTGCTATTGGCTTTTGACACGTCAGTTTTCCTTTGTTTTTTGTTGGAGGGTATTGACTTCAGATCATCTTTTTACAGAGATGTCATTGGCCGCCAAGAGAATGTTGTTGAAGAGTGCTCTGGCGAAGAAGAAAGCCCCGATGAAGGGCACACTGGGGAGGCAGACCGCGAGGAGGCCTTCTGAGGAGACCCCTACCTTTGCTGGGAGGACGTCCACGCCAGCCGAGGTGCTAAATGCTGTAGCCGAGAGGACTCATTGGTCTTAGTTCCCCACTGGTGGGGGTGACTAGGGGAAGAGATCTGCCGAAGGAGGTCGGGAAGAAGAGGTCGGCTGAGGGCAGCTAGGCTAAAGGAGGCCAGTGAAAGAGGCTGGCACATAAAGACCGGCTGGCCGAGGGCAGTTAGAGGAGGAAGGAGGCTCCTATTGCTCTGAGGGGGCCTTACTCGAAGGGGTCCGCAATTGGGCCTTCGTCGGCCCAACCATTTGCATCGGAGCTTGGCGAGGAGGGAGAAATCCTTATGCGGGTGTTCCGCCCTAGATGGAACGTTCGGGAGGGGGACTCTATCAGCATTGAGGGGGTCAGTAGAGCCTTAGTTAAAGGGATGATCCCGCATGGGGATCGTCTTGATATGATGAACGCAGATCCCCTCGTCGTCCGAGATCAAGGCCTGGACTACCTGGTCGAGGTGAGTTTCGGCTTCATTTTCGCTTCCTTGTTTATCTCGTCATCATTTTTACTAATGGAGATGCATTCATTGTAGGTCTATCGTCACTTCGTCGGTCTAGGGGACTGAGTCAGCCTGCGGGTGGCTTCGACCGATAGTAGCCGAGACAAGGCCCTCTCGGCTCTAGGGGACAAGAAGCAACTCTGACAAATGCTGGAGGATGACTTGAAGGCGAAGAAGTCTCGGGTCACCAAGCTTTAAGAGCATAGGAAGAAGTCTGAGTTGCAGCGTGCTCACCTTGATGGGGTCGCGCTGGAGGCCCATAAGTGGGTAGCGGTGGCCGAGGCACAGGTGGCAGAGGCCGAGGCACGAGCCGTAGAGGCTAAGGTAATCTTCAGGGACATTGTCCGTGTTTGGAAGACATGGAGGAATAACAAAAGTTTCTTGTTGACTACACGGTCGTAGCCTACCTAGAGGGCATTGAAGATACAAAGAGTGCATTGCTGAAGCTGGTGCCCGACATCTAGGTGGATGAGCTAAAGGTGCTCTTAAACATCGACAGTATTCCCCCCGAGGTCCCTACTGAGGTCCCCACCGTTGCCGAGGATTTTGTTGTCCCTCCTTCTAGGGGTAGTGCGTAGGTGGGTCTGCTCTCCCGATGTGCTTTTTGTTTCTTTTTGTTAATCTTTTGCGAAGGGGTTCACCCCCCAAACCGAGGCCGAAGAAAATCTTTTATAAGGACTAAATTGTCTATATTTAATGGTACGCCTTTCTGCATATCTTGTGCCTTTGTCAGTTCTTCTTCTTTCTTTCTTTTTCTTTTCTTGCTTAGAGGTCGGTGCCCCCTTCCGAGAGGTCACAAGTAGGCAAAAATTATGGTCCGAGGTGGCCCGCTAGACGCTCACTTGGGAAGTTAAAGGGAGTCGGTCATGGCCAAGTTGTGTCGCCAAGGTGCTTGGGCTCCTTCCCTTGTCGAGGAGAGAAGGGGGTGTCACCTGTCCTGGCTTACTCCTTGTCCCCTTAGGAATGAGTTGGGTGAGATCGAGGTAGGCCATTGAGGTGCTCAGGGCCATGCTGTTACCTGACCTTTTTTTCGCGGATTGCATGGAGTTGAGGTGGCCTGGTGCCGCCGACGTGCTCTAGGTGAAGGGCCAAGGTGGCCTGGTGCTGCTGAGATGCTCAGGGCAAAGGGCCGAAGTGGCCTAGTGTTGCCGAGGTGCTCGAGGAGAATGTTGACCGACCTAGCTTACTTTTATAGGGCCGCCCTGGGAGTGGTCCTTCAGGTGGCCGACGTTATCGAGGCACGCTTGATCGAGGACGTCATGGCTTTCCTTCTTGGAGAGGTACTTAGGTTATTTTTAGTGTGCTTGTCCATTGTGGGCCGAGGATACTGACCAATGTTTACAACCGTAGTGTGTTTCCTTTACCCTTGAGTTGTAGTAGCGAGCTACCCTCTACTAGTAGATTGCCACTCTTATTTGTGCCTACTCTCGGCCTTCTTCCAAGAGATCTAAATTGGTTATGAGTTCTTCATTGTTCTTGGCTTTGCTGTATGCCTCAGCCCGAAGCATCAACTGGCCGATCTCTACTGGGATGATACCCTCGGTGCCATAAGTCAGGTTGAATGGAGTTTCTCCTGTGGCTGTCCGAGGTGTCGTGCGGTATGCCCGTAGGACTTTGTTCAACTCGTCAGCCCATAGGCCTTTGGCTCTATCCGATCTAGTCTTCATTCCTTTTAGGATGGTTAGGTTGGTAACCTCGACTAGGTCGTTGGTCTGAGGGTAGCCTATCGAGGTGTACTGTTGCTTGATGTCGAGGGAGGCACATCATTCTCGAAATCTCGCATCGTCAAATTGTTTCTCGTTGTTAGTGACCAACATGTAGGGGAGGCCAAAGCGACAAATGATGTTCTTTCAGAAGAAGTTCTGCATCATCCTAGTCGTGATGGTAGCCAGGGGCTCTGCTTCAACCCATTTGGTGAAGTAGTTGATTGCGACAACGCAGAACTTTCTATTTCTTGTGGCTTGAAGGAAGGGGCTGAGGAGGTCCATGCCCCACTTGGCGAAGGGCCGAAGGATGATAGGGTTGTGGCCGATCGATGGGAGATGTTTGAGTGTCTTTGTCACTTGTCACATTTTTGGACCAGCTCGATTGCGTCTTTCTGAACTGTCAGCCAGAAGTACCCTTGCCTGAGTACTTTTTGGGCCAAGGCTCTACCTCCGAGGTGGTTGTCGTAGATGCCTTTGTGGACCTCTCAGAGCACATACTCACCATCCTCCTGACGGAGGCATTGGAGGTAGGGTAAGGTGAATAATTTTCTATATAGCTTCCCTTCAAGCAAAGTGTAGTGTGTGGCCTACCGTTGGACTCGTTTGGCTTTGTTTCTGTCGCCGGGCATCTACTCTGTCATGAGGAAGGTGGTGATGGGATCTATCCATGATGTCTCAGCCTGTACTGCTAGGACCTAGACTTCTTCAAAGGTTGGCTGAGCTAGCTTCTCCACCCGGATAGTATGGCCGAGGACAGTGCCTGAGGTGCTTGCTAACTTGGATAAGGCGTCGGATCTCATGTTTTCAGACCGCGGTACTTGTCGTAGGGAGAAGTGTTTGAAGTGGCAAGCTAGTTCTTAGACCCTTGGCGAGGTACTTGGCCATGCTTTGTTCCTCAAGAGAAGAGAGAGTTCTGCTAATTTAGTGGGAGGGGTGCCTATTTGGGTTTAGCAGATAGGAGGCGCCCTCCTGTGCTTAGTTTTTCACAAAAACACCCCCTCTCTTAGTTAGAACTCACACCAGCTTCCCAAAAACTGCATTTCAACCCTAAAACTTCCCTAGTTTTTCTCAAGATTTGCACAGGGACCCATAGAGGTCACAATAATGAATTTAATTGGGAAAATGACACATTTTGTCTATTCTAAGGCCTAGGTAACCCTAAAATGATGCCTGTTAAGGCATCAAAATATAGAGTTATCAGTCGTTGAAGACATCAATGTGTTATGAGTCGAGTCTTTTATGAGCTGCAATCTAGAAAGGAGGGCTTCGTACTCGGCCTCGTTGTTGGAAGCCGAGAAGTCGAACCTCAATGCATGTTCCACTTCGACGTCATCTGGGGTGAGGAGTATGAGGCCAAGGCTCCCCTTCCCTTGGAGTTGGATGATCCATCAATAAATAGCTTCTATGTAGGTCGAGCTTCGATAGGCCGAGGTCTTTCTTCTATCTCTTCTTCTGGGGCTCGACCGAGGGGTTGGCTGAAAGTGCATTCTGTCACAAAATTCGCCAAGGCATGGGCTTTAATTGTTGGCCTCGGCTGGTATTGGAGGTCGAACTCAAATAGCTCGATGGCCCACTTGATTAGTCATCCCGAGGTCTCAGGTTTGGTGAGGACGGATTTGAGGGGTCGGTTGGTCAGGACCATGATTGTGTAGGCTTGAAAATACGACTTGAGCTTTCTGGCCGAGACCATGAGGGCAAAGGCTAGCTTCTCCACCTCAACGTATTGGGTCTCGGTGTTGCAGAGAACCTTGCTGACGTAGTAGATCGGCCTCTGCACTCCATCTTCTTTAATAAGCACTGAGCTAATGGCCTTGTCCCTAGCTGACATGTACAAGTATAAGACATCTCCTGGGAGCGGCTGAGTGAAGAGAGGAGGTGAGGCGAGGTACTGCTTCAATTCTTCAAAGGCGATCTGGCATTCTTCAGTCCATTGAGAGTCTTTCAGTTTCTTGATGGACTAGAAGAAAGGAAGGCAGAGGTCCACCAACTTCAACATGAAGCGGCTGAGGGTGACCACTTGGCCGTTGAGTCTTTGGGTCTCCTTAACTGACCGAGGTGGTGCCATGTCTAGAATGACTTGGATCTTTTCTGGGTTGGCCTCTATGCCTTGCTGTGTGACGATGAATTCTAAGAACTTGCTCGAGGTCACGCCGAAGGCACACTTGCTAGGATTAAGATTCATGGTGAACCGCTACAAGGTGTCAAAGGTCTCAGGTAGGTCCGAGGTGTGCTAGTCAGCCTTTAGGTTTTTCACCACCTTGTCATCCACGTAGGGTTCGACGTTCCTCCCCATTTGTCCTTGTAAACCTTGTTGAGCGAATGGCAAGAAGGGAAAATAGGCCTCGGAGGAGCGATCGACGGTCAAGTGCTTGAAGGACTGGAGTACTTGGACGATGAAGAAGGCCAAGGTCATAACTCACTATGGTTTCATCCCCCTTGTGATCATCATTGGCGTGAACTCGGAGCCAAAACCAACACTCTCTCAGCTCCTCACCCCCTTCTGAGCCGAAATCTTGGATGCCCAGATCGCGGAATAGGTTCAATGCGGTGATTTCTCTGTTGTTTCTCGTCGATGGGTCGACACCTATTCGACGAATATAAATTAAGAATAACAACCAAGTTTTAGAAGCTGTAAGTATATATTTCAATCATAATTTAGAGATGTATTATTTTGTTATACAAGTATGACCAAGTTCTGGATGGAATCTGGATTATGCTTGTTGAAAATTCATAATTTTAGGAAATTTCTGACTGCATAAACATGAAATTGGAGTAAGAGAACTATTATTTAACATCAGGGTTTTCCTTGAGATATTTTCATTGATGGCCTCTTGTCAGTGTGCTAGATCAGTCCACTTCAATGAGAAAAAAAAAGTTTTCATTTGAATGCAAGGTAGTCAAGATATGTCTAAAGTGAAACAATTGTTTGTGGACATGAAGTTGTCCCCATATCTGTCTGCTGTGCTCAATACTAAGCCTTGGTGGTTGCTATTGCATGAAACTTTCATGCAAGATAGGTTTAGCAACTTCATGTAACTTTATAAATATGGAGGACAATATAACATTCAAGAACAGAAGGCTCAAACTTTTCCCAAGTAGAAGTGGAATTTTATCCAAGCGTTATGGTGTCACCTCCAAAATCCATGAAACCAGAAGACAAAAGGGAGATAAATGAAACAACTGGGCAAAAAATGAGTGTGCAGAAATGCTTATGCTAAGATGGATGAATGGAAAGACTAGAAAGGGTAGGGTCTTATTGGAACCTAGGAGTAGCTCCAATAGGTGACAAAATGAGAGAAACCACCAACAGCACCCGTAATGAGAAGTGACCACCGACCTGTCCCCACCTTATAGCTAAGATACCCTACCCCTCCTTGAAAACCCACTGAAATCTGCACTGTTCATTTCCAGGATCTGGTCAACAAATTTAACAAGCATGTTACCTGCCAATTTCTTGTGTTTTTTCTTTTATAAGTAGTTGATTTCTTACTTCAACCAGCCCATCTCAAGCTGGATTTTAATGGAAAAATTAGGTTCGGTTATTTTCCAACCTGACCAGCCCAACTAAGATTCAAGTAGGACTACATTTTGCTGTAATCATAATTAAAACATCCCTGGAAGAGCAATATATATCAACATTTATGAAACAATTCTACCTAATAGATTTTTATAAAATACTTAAGACAATAAAGCAAAAAAAGAGGCTTGCCTTGTATTGGTATATTTGGTCAGCACTGTGAATCTCAAATTGGATAGTTGTAGAATAGGATTCCACGTGCAAGTTTTATTTCCCCACTCACCAAATAAAAAAGTCTGAAGTTTGGAGTTAATATAGTGCCATCAGATAGGTTAGGGTGTATTTGCAAGTTAATACTAAAGGGGAACCTTAAAACAAAACAAAATAGAAAATGAACTGATAATCCAATGATGAAATCTGCTTAGTTCACATCTAGCTTTTGGCTTGCCTATAGTTCAAACACCATTTAGGCACAACATCAATTAGCTTCACTTACCAATCACCATTTATTTTCATCTCATTTCAGAAGCAAGAATAATTTGCATTAAAAATCTATTGTCTGCTTTGAAACTGCTCTGCTCTCCTCCACCCTCCACCCACACATACTCACCTTAAGTTCGTAGGTTTTACCTCATTCAATTTGCAATTGTTCTGCAATTAATGTTAGATGCCCCTTGTTTGACAGGCACAACGTTCATAGCTACAATTCATATACTATACTTATTGATTCATGATGAGCGAAGGAAGCCCCTCTTCATTCTATTTTTCAAATTAGTTAGCACCCCACCTTTTGCATTGTGTGAACCAGGTTTTGTTTGGACTTCAGCTTTATGTGTCAAAGTTGGTATGACCACAACCTAGACCTAACCCCACCTATCACCATTCCTAGGCTGAATTAGTTTCATTTTACATACTATTAGTATGTATAGGAAAACCAAGACAGAAAACGGTTGAATTAAGTAAGGGGCTTGGTTAGGGAGAAAACAGTTGAACTATGTATAATTCCAACATTAGAATTTTTTTGAGTGGATTTTGCCTTCTGATTAAGGAGAAGATTTCTATTTAGTGGGGGTGGGAGCGGGTGGGAATCGCATGAAAAGATTGAATCAAGTTAACACATTTTCCTTCCATGGCCATTTGTAAAACAAAGTTGGAACCTTGTGCATTGTTGTTTTCCCCCATAATCCACTACGAGTAAGAATCCAGAACATTGCTTTCATCCTATAGAAATTTCTAAGAACATTGTTTTTTCTATTCTTGTTTATAATACAAATTGTTTTTGACAACAGAACTTGGATCCTGTGTGCGGTTTTTACACGAGGTTAGTTTAGATGTAAGTACGCTTCCTTAGGTTCCGTGTGTTTGTCTTTGTTGAGAAAAACACAAAAACAGAACGCGTTTTTTTTTGTTGATTAGTGCAGAAACAGAAAATTGATGGAATTGTTCTTAAGGAACWTGGCAAAATTTGTTAAGAACGTCCCCCTCAACTTTCTGTCTCCGTGTATCTAACTAAACATAGCCTTACAGTCAGCATAAAAAATGAAGAAGGCCCACAAATTTTTACGTGGTTCACTTCCATAAAAGGAAGCTACGTCCATGGAAGGGTGTAAGGGTTGCTTTCATTACTCAGAAAAGTAGATCTTCTTCTCCTCCTCTTTCTTCTTACTCATCTCTCCCTTTCTCCAGCTTTCTAATTTAACCACTCCAATTTGTGTCTCCTGTGGCCAATGATACTGAGGTAAAAAATGTGGGAATGGGACCATTGTACAAATTCCAGTTTTGTAGGTATCTATCATCCCATATCTGATTTATTGCTGGCTGTAGTTGTAGACATTGTGGTAGCTGTTGTTATTCAACACCAAATACCCAAGAATCACATCATACCGAAGATTCACATGTTGTTATTCACATGATTAGGCATAGGAGTTAGTTCTTTTAGGTATCAAGAGTAGTTTAGGGAATTCTTAGCGACATTCCCACAGATGGCGCCAATTGTTGATGCTTGGAATGGGCCGAGGACAACACAATAATTTTGCTCCTAAACTAAGGTGAGATTGAGCTGCCCGGGGTCCGAGGTGACTGAGGGCAGGCAGGCAGGTCGGTCCTGCAAGGAGTGAAGATAATGCGTTAGAGGCCCTGGGTTGGTACATGAGGTGGAGACTCCAATGGTCAAGTTAGTACGCGGTCGGTATAAGGTAATCAAGGTGCAAGGTGCGAGGACTCAGATGAGTTCACAAGGGAGAGCAAGAGTTCTCAAGGATTGCTCAAGAGTCTTAAGTTCTAGGATCCCTTACCTTGTGAGGGGTCACCTCCTATTTATACTTGAGGCTGCTATGAGGTGGACGAGCTTAGACGGTCCGGATGCAATCCGTACGTGGGGAGGATGGTCATCCAAGGTTGCCAGATGACCCTATGCCATTGGTCCTGGAGAGCCTGCCGAACTTTATTGAGCCCGTGCACTAATTGGGTCCGCTCTGGACGTCGTCGCCTAACGCGTGCTAGCCTCCCATTAGTTCAGACCAAGAGCGCCTACGTCAAGGCCAAAAGG